TTTACTGGGGAGGCATGTTCCTTGCCTGGTTGAATCTGCGTTTGATATTAAAAATTACCAACAAAGGGACAAAGTTTAAAAAAATGACAAACAACTCACTTAAAGAAAGGCATCCCTTTGAGCTAAATTTTCCATTCATCTACGATTACCCAAATCAGTACAACCAAATTGAAAGAAAAGATAAATGAACATTACTTCCATCTTTTCGCTGTACAAAACTAAGACAAATTCCTTACAGATTTGTACATTATATGCGGATAGTTCTCTTGGTGCATGTAAAACCATATAGGTAATAGCCAAAAGAAAAAAAACACCAACATACCATGCAATTTGTTCATTGACTGTGATATAAGCTCTATGTTGAAAACCAACATTTCTATCTCCCCTTGTAGGCAAACGCCAGCATACCCTGCAAAATTTCTGCTTCTACAAATGAAAACATCTTCATTAACATTTTTGACATGTTGATATCCCTTGAATAACAGGTAGTAAATGGTAACAAAATAACGTACGATTTAAATTAGGAGTTCCCACAGCACATATTCTTAAAAATAAACGTTCCTTACCTTGAGCATGGCTGGTGACCTCTTTTTTCCATTTATCTGCATGGAATTTACTGAGGGGTACATGGTAAGAATTAAGGGCATCATCAAACTGCTGCCTCCATACATTTTGCATCTCAATAGCCTATTTCAACAAGCCAAATCTAACATATCTTCAACAAATTCATAAACTGTGATAATTGTGATGCTATTTAGTTAATATGTTCAAGAGACAGAAAATGATCAGATGTAAAGTGGCAGGCAAACAGCAATAAATTAGCAAGGCTATTTTAAGCATACTGAGACTATTAAACATAATTTTAAGAAGATGAACAGTTAAATGAAAATGTACCCTTGACGTGAAAAACTCACTTAGGAAGTAAAAGCATTGAACTGTTTTTTTCAAGTTATAATTTGTGACCCTATTTGGGAAAAGGGGGATTAAGGTGAATTTAGAAAACAACATTCTAACGCGTTTAATCGGCTTCGTCGAAAAGCGTGGAAACACATTTTGTATGCGTTTAAACAGATTTTTAATGCGTTTAAACAACCGGCTCTATTGCGCTTCAATATTGCATTTCGTATGCTGGAAAGTAAGCCAATTTAGTTGTATTTGAATGAATAAATTACCAGTGTTCTATTATGTGAAATGCGAAGGGCGCATGTCTTCCAACTCACTGTGTCAAAATGATCAATTTACTAGCAACTACCTTTTGCCTTTCTTTTCTACAAAGCGGGTGGCCAAAAAACTGTCCTGCAAGTAATAATCACATTCCATCTAGAATATAGTTTTTTCTGTGAGCGCCTCATGCACGCCGACTTTAACCCACTTGCAGTGCAAGAATGTCGTGCTATCAACAACAGCAACCAAACAATTAGCACACGCAGGAAAGAAGATGCGGTTTTCGAGTCTTCCTAAGAATGGAGCAAGCAGTCGAATTTGAGCCTACGGATTCTGTAGTTTTCATGTTGAATACAACAGGCAACAATATTGCTCAAAGAAATGCAAACTACCTAACGACGCTTCAAAATGTTTCTATCAGCATATTGGGCTTCACCAACAGGCCGGTCAATCCTTTTTCTCAAGCTTGTTTTAATCTTTTTATGCTCTTTAAAACCTTCACATTCGACTCCTTCGATCGTTTTTCCTCTTCGGAATTTTTGGCGACAAAAGCACATCGCCAGATGCGAAGCAAAATCAAAGAAATGATGCCGCAAGCCTTCGTCATGTTTCGTGTTATCGTTCGAATAACACGAATATTTTTGCTTTCAGGGTCACTGGTCATGATGTCGTGACGCCCACCCCGTAACAACAGAAAATATCAGCTTTTTCGCCCCATAGCGACTTAATAATTGGATTGTTCGGACCATAATGCCTCGAGAAAATAGAAAATGAGAGAAACAGGCAGTCGACAAACCACCATCAAAACTGGGACGTAATTCAAAGAACGAGTGGATCACAACAAAATTTCATCAAAATGTGACAAAGTAAACATCCCATTGACTTGACCAAAATTAATACTACTGGGTTGAAAAATTCTCCCCTTTGTTATCCTTTGGAGACAGAAACCTTAATGTCCAGTTGGGAGAGAAGTAGGGAGCGATTCAGTAAAAGTGGAAGCCCTTTTGATTTGCCAACATTTGCTAGTATCGCAAGTATTAACCGGTTTGACAGCAGCTCAAGGGTCCTCAAGGTTTTCTGACCAGCGAATTGATTTTTCTGTAACTGCCTTGGCATTCACGAAAAGGCTTTCCATCCGATAGACTTGAATTTATGTTATGGATTCTTTCAGTTGTTACTATATTGTCGAACTGTGAGAGAAATAGCGAAAAAGCAAGTTAGAGCTGTTCCAGCTTCACCCAAATTTGCTATCTTTTTGATCGCAGATATCCTTCGGTATGATTGACTCGAAGACTAATTGTACCTGTGTACGCGCCGCCAGGGACCATAGGGATTTGGGCGAGCAGGGGTGTTTCATTTGTCAACTCCTGTCGATTTTAGCCAACTACCTGCTCTTGCATATAGGCGACACACGTTTCCGACCAACCTTTGCAAACTTGGATACCTGAATAACAATATAAATGGTTGTCTTTACTCTAGGCTGTTAACTAGACTTACGAGCTGCTAAGTTTTACTTAACCAAAAATTCGTGTGTGAAGGCCTAAGAAAAATGTCAAGAAACTTTACTTTGCATCTCACTAAAGTCGGAAAGTTGAAACGATTCAAGAAAGTTTCAAGCGACTTGAAAACCATCTTTATGACCGACTTAGCTGACTTGCGGTTACTTGTAGTTTCTCGAGCTTTGAGAAAGGCGAAACATGTCAATCAATCTTAATTATGTTGCGTTGGAAAATAGCCTTTAAGTTATAACCTGACGTAAAAAAGAATCGGTTGTGTGTGAAGCTTTATTTTACTTGAAGTAATTAAAATTTACTTGTCTTGAAATATTTCTTAGCTTATTTGGGCTCTAGTGTAAAGACTACCATTGTTCTTAATGTTTCAGATAAATGTTTCAGATGTTTTTCTTTCCCTCCTTTCAAAGATTTTGTTTAATAAAATTATTAACAAGATTTTTAATAAGAAACCATGCCTTATTAACATAAATGAGACTTCCTGCCTGAGCAAAATTACTTTTCTTGCATCAATAAATTAGTCAAATTGGGTGAGATTAATTGAGGTGTTGTACGTTTAAAACGAGGAATGCATATAGTAACACTAAAATACATGTATAGTTGCTGTTGCAATGATGGGTAATGGTCTCAATGGAGGAAAGTTTATCAATAAGAAACGGGAACTACAGTATATTCTTTTCGTATCAGTACAGATTGTTTATTAAAGTTCCATCCAGCTTCCATCAATGCTTTCTTTGACGGACAAGACCGTATTTAGAGGCGATGAGCGGCAGTAAAAGCAAAGTGGCTGTAATGCTTCGGAGGAGACAGTTCCCTGTGGCAAGCCACACACAGCGGGAACGCCAATCTCAGCCAAGTCGGCGAACAGATCAAGCAAATGTGAGATGTCATCTGTGCTTAATGTTACTCCTTCCACGCACATTGCAAAAATCTCGTGCTTTTGAATAGCACAAATTATGGAATCAACACCGACCTTACAATGAGCTAGTCCAAGAAAACGTAAGGAATCAAAAGAGGCATTGTTAATACCCGTATTGGTCAAGTTTTCACATCTGCAGACATTCAAAATTCCTAAAGAGGATATGCTTTCGGTAATAAAAACTAGATGGCTGTCATCTAGCTTGTTTCGCTCAAGTTGAGCTGCACAATGTTAATAGCTCTAATCACTGGATATTCAGACAGTCCACCTTGCATTCTAGCCATATTTAAAACTGTCAGTCTGGTACAATTTTCCACTATTTCACAGAATGTTGACCAGTTTGTACTTGCGCCAGATAAGTCTATAGATTGGAAGAGACAAGGCCTCCATTTAACCGCCTGATGAAACTTATTCACAGTCTCCTTTGATGAGTTTTGGGCCTTTACTTCTGAGAACTCGGTATCCCTTACGTACTTAATCAGACTTTTGTCCTGAGAAATTTGCAGCCACTCCTTACACACAAGAGAAGCAGTTTTTCGAACAAATTTGTAAGGTAAATAAGAGAAAATGTTAAGTATGATGCTTTGAGGTAAACTATCCATTTATCTTCCGTCTAGCACCCTGAAGACGAGTTCTAGTATTTTGTGAAGTTAGAAAGGGAGTGACTGTTTATGGTGCCACTAAAATCGTCCTGTCAGATAGCTTTAAAAGTCGCTAAAGCCATCAGATCCTCTTGTCTCCCATCAAAGACTTAGATCTGTTTGTGATTTTGGTCTCAAGATCCAAGGAACCAAGTGCTTAAAGCAAAATAAAAAGCAACAGATCAAGGAACTTTTGTTCTAAAAATGAAATACTGAAGTACTGAAATCTCTATACTTGAAAACCTAAACATATTGCAAGGGGAATGGAAGTCCTTATCTTCCACCGAAAAAGAAGACCTCTTCATACCCCCAAAAAACAACATTTCGCCATATCTTAATGATTTAGAGTCTCAAGTGAATGTCTGCTTATTTTTATGTTTGCTGATACTATCAGATGTTCTGGTTCTCCAGCCAAAAGGAGCTGTTTGTGTTTTTGGTGGCAAGATCAAAGATACCAACTGGGATGCCAGAAAGTAAAAGCGAAGTATTAATGAAACTTTTGTTCTAAAGTGAGACATCGAGTCACTAGTTTCCCTAAGAAAGGAATACTTAAACATATTGCTTAAAGCTCCGTATCTTGAAACGATAACTTGAGTAGACCATTTTATAGTCTAAAACAACAATCTCTCTATCTTGAGGAATGTTGGGAGTCCTGTGTGTTTTTCTTATGCGTTCTGATGCTGTCAGATTATCTGGTTCCCACCGAATTAAAAAAGAAGTTGTTTGAATTGACATCAGGATAGCATACACGTTTGAACTAAAAGCATGGCAAGTAAAAAAATGATGATTCGTTGGGATACAAAGTGTGAGTGGAATGGACGTCAACAACCAGTTCCGCGAAAAGACATTGATCCACCGAAACCGGCCAGCCTAGCAGAAGGCGAAAGAATCAGAGTGAAGTTTTCTGGAAGGTGGTACAACGCATTCGTGGTTACATCGTGGTCAAAAGAACAAAAAGGTTAGTGTTTTATAGTATATTGTTCCTTCGAATTTCCTCAGCCATTGTCCCATTCAGGATATGAGATTTATTAGAGTCTTGCCCCTGCAAAACACCTTCGATCTTAACCATTCCATCTTATCCCGTGGGAGCAGGGATAGCACAGTGTTGAAAGCATGACACTGCTCTGAGATGCTTTTCTCTGGGTGCTCTGGTGGTTTCCATTTTTTCGTCCCCTAAGCAAGAAATTTCACTAAAAGTTACGGCTAGTTTCAATTTAATATGGTTTGACCTAAATTGGTGGTTACATTTTTAACAGGTGTTGCAAAAAACAAGTCTTCAACTGCTGGAATAGGAGGCAACGTGGATGATGGACAGCACTCAAAAACAAAAGCGCCGAAAACTAAGAAGCGTGTTGACCCAAGTGACAATGGTGTAGCTCCTACAGTCCCAAAAAGAAAAAAAGAGGAAGACCTTTATAAAAACTTCTTGGAGGAGAAAAGTCAAAGGGAGTGGGGCTGGCGTTTGATGCGCGTGGGCAATAAAAAACAGAGGGGTGAAGTACGAGGGGAAGAGAAAGTACATGAAGGAAAGAGTGACGAAAAGGACAGTGACTCGGGGAAAGAGAGCCAACAGATAGAGATGGCGAGAACGGAGAAGGAAAGCAGGGAAAGGGAAGTGGAAATTTGGCAGAAAAAGAGAAAATGGGAAGAAGAATGGAGAAGGGAGGAATTGGAAAGAAGGGAGAAGGAAAGGAGAGAATGGGAAGAGAAATGGAAAAAAGAGGAATTGGAAAGAAGGAAGAAGGAAAAGAGAGAATGGGAAGAGAAATGGAAAAAAGAGGAATTGGAAAGAAGGAAGAAGGAAACGAGAGAATGGGAAGAGAAATGGCGTAAAGAAGAGAGAGAAAGAAAAGAATGGGAAGAGGGAAGAAGAAAGGAAGAGGTGGAAAGAAGGGAGACGGAAAAGAGAGAGTGGGAAGACGAGAGGAGACGCCAAGATGTGGAAAGAAAAGAGAAAGAGAGGAGAGAATTGGAAGAGGAAAGGAGGAAGGAGGACGTCCAACATAGAGAGAGCCTGCAAGAAGATAACACGGATGTGATGGTACTCCCCTTAGATCTTGATTGGCCAGACTGGTCCCTGGACAGTCCAACAACTAGCCAAGCAAGAAGCGGATGGCAAAGTACTTCCTTTAAACAAAGCAGTGAGAATTGGCAATCTCAGATGAACGAGGTAAACTGAGAAAATATGTTTATAGTTACAGGTGTATCGTGACCACTTATTCCCAGCCTATTGTTTTTTACAGACAGTGAAAAAAATGGAATCAACCCTTGCAGCATTTATGGCTGAAACAACGATGACATTGCAGAACTTTGATGACCGCATGAGGAAGTTTGAAAATCCTGATCTTCTACCTGCACATTCGACTCCATTTTCGGTAAATATTGTTTTCTGAAATGTTTAATTACCGGGTAATAATTAATTGCAGTATTACAGAGATAATGGTGATGTTTCCGATAATCAGCAACTGTTCACCGAAGTGGAGGTGCGTATTGGTGGACATATTTTCTGAGTCTCGAATAGTTGTTTTGGTATATAGTACTGAAAACAGTGAGATGATATAACACAAACAGATGATTTTAACTCATTTATTCCTGCAAAGACTAGAACATTTTTGGGCGCAAATTGCGCGCGAATTGCTCGGAGGTGAATAGTGAAGGATATCCGGAGTTTGAGTAGCCTATCAGCGCGCCTGATCAATGCTATCCACTGTTTTAGTATATATCAACAACGATTGTAATAACTTGTCAGGGGCTAGATTTGATTGCTATATCGATAGTTTGGCCGGCTTCTGACTCATGATAGTTCTGAGATATTCACTGGGCCAACAATTATAAACCTTTTTTTTGTTGTTGTGAGTGCGCTGTAAAGCATCTTATACTATGTGGCTGGAACAAAGGACAGCGAAAGTACCTCATATTTCTGATATTTATTTCTTTAATTGTGTCACAATTATAGGGTAGCAAAAAAAGCAGGTGTACGCCGACAAGCACTCCAAGCACATCGGCTGAGTTGCAGTCCTTGAAAGTTTTGACACCCTCCACCCGATCAAAAGTTTCCCAGTTGCTAGACACAAGCACTGAAAGACATAAAGCAGCTCTGAAGATATTTGCTCTCCACTTCTCAAAAGAGGAATTAGCGACTTCCAATTGTTCGGGAACATCAGAAAAAAAGCAGCTTGACCCCAAGCGCCTGACTCTTGTGAAATGTAAGCGCAACCATTATATTTTAGTTTCTGAAAAACCTAGAATTACAGCCACATATTAAATGTATCAGGTTTTAGTGATCTTCTTACTTGGTGACCCCAAGGTTTGTCAGTGACAAATCCCAATGGGTGCTTCACTGCCAAAAAGAACATAATACCAAAGATATTGTTGTAATTTTAAAACTTTGATAATATAAGATACTCCTTGGGGTTTTGTTTGTTTAAAATTAATTATATTTATTTTCAAATAACATCTTATTGTATCTTTCTCCCTAGAAATTTGTTATGGAAAAATTTCCACCCGAGGAGAGCGCAGGTGAAACTGAAGAGAGTGTTTGGAAGGGTATCTGTAAGAGGATTGACACAGTGCCGTGGACAGAAATTCGCTGAAAAGTACGTGGTCAAACAGCCTCAATAAAGCATCTGATCAGCCGATTGTAGAATGTCTTTAAAGATTATGTGAAAACTATAGTTACAACTGTGATCTTAATAAAAGTCAGCACACACTTCGTTACAAAAGACATGTATCCTAAAATACCTTTGGACACCATGAACTATAAAATCAAATAACAAAGTTATTTATCAACAGGCCGACTGGTTGGTACGACACTTGTCGAAGCCTAAAACGCCAAAAAAAAAAATGCCGGATTTAAACTGATTTATACCGCTGGTTTGCCAAGAAATCTCAAAAGGGCAGTCGTTTGGTCCAATAGCTAGACTAAAAGGGGCACTTCTTTGTCGTCAATGGTTTAACTTAAAAAAAATGTTCAGAAATCATAAGTCTACGGTTTGGGAGCAATAAGATCCTCTGTACCTTCTTTGCAAAACTGTCGAATTTCTGTATAGAGGTATTGTTTCCTTTGCTGATCCAAACCTTTGGGCTGTAAGGGAGCAGGAGGGATGCTGGGCGGAAGGGTATCTTCTTTATGTAATAGACTAAAATGTTCATCGGTTCCATCTGAAAACTCCCTATACATTAGAACACCTGGCATTGCTTGCTTGAATTGAAAATGATGATATTTCTTGATGTTTGGAAACTTTTTAAAATAAAGTGACAAAAAGGAGACCCAGTCATAGACTGGAACAATGGTTGAACCATCATGCAAAGAGCACAGCAGTGTAACATTAACCCCCCTGACAGTTGATGTGTCTACTACAGTTGCTAATTCGTACAGCGAGGAGCAAAGGATTTCCGAAAGCTTTGCTTTAAAAGCCCGAAACACCAGTCGCATGCAAATTTTGGATGTCCAACAATGAGAAAGCTATAAGTGCGAGATTGGTGAAGTCCAACCATTACCCACCATGCGAGATACCAAAGTACGTACGAATTTTTGTTCTGGCGACAACAGTTGTCTGCGTGAAGGAGCACTTCTGTTTCACCCAAGCCATGGTTTGCAAAAAAATAGTGAAGATAGCTTATGGTCGCATTTGCATAATCAAATGAATAGTGCACTTTACCATTAAATGAACAGGGCTGTCGTGTTGAATTAAAATCAATCTCGTGTAGTATTTTGGCAATGCTGTCTTTGCTTTCATTGCATGCATTTTTGTACAAACTTCTCTCCCATTCTGCGTCCAGTAGGTGCTTTTCTTGTTTACGCACAACTTCACTTTTCTCATCATCTGGCAAATTAGCTGACCGGTAAATACTTGTGTTATTCTTTTGACACGTGTGGCACAAGTCAGTCATAGGTTTCGTAATTCTCATTTGGGGGCGAAGTTTGTTCCACATTTCTACAAATTTGGGATATAAGACAGCAGTAACTCCTGCACTTGGCGCGGCTTGTTCGTATACTCTATGTATGCTTGCTTTAGTGTTGGATGATGGTAACAATCTTACGTCTGTACGTTTGAATCCTGGAACTCTACCTGGGAATGCGACAGCATGTTCTTCTGCATAATTATCAAGGAACGATACAACAGGTTTTAGGGTTTCCAATGAACAGACTCTAATGGCAAGTCTTCCTTTGTTGCCATGAACACGAGGAAGAATTCCGTTTTTCTTGTAATGCTTCTGGAGGTTTTCCAAGCGTTTCTTTCCAATTCCATATATAATTAAAAAGAAGTCCTTGCAATCGGAAAACCTAGAGAAAGAATGAAAAAGAGGCAACTTAATGAACACGGACACTGCATTTTTCCAAAAAAAACATTCCATAACTGGCAAAGACAGGCTAAAAGCGGTCAATTTTCAAATGAATTAGTGGACAGACATAGCTGAACTGAAGTTGTTACAAACTCTCATCTTCCATAAGCTACATTCGTAACATTTTCTTCACCCTACCTTGAAAAGTGAAGTTTGTTTGCGTCCTTCTCCTTTGTCTTGTTTGCTGACTGGACAAAGACAGTTCATCTCTTTTAGTGCATGCGTCAAACTGCACAAGTATCACCATGTCTAATTCAGAGTTGGCCATTTCAAGACAAATTTGTCTATGTTCCAGTACGTTTTCCAGAGAAAAATTATTGCTGCAGTATCCATTGTTACTGACATTCAAACTGCATCCGCAGCCCTTTGCCAGAAATGATTCTACTTTTTGGCGCTCATTGACATCACACTCCCTCCATTGCATCTCGGGGTCCAACTCGATATTGGTGTCCGGTTCCTCCACAACCAATTCATCTTCATCGCTGTCAGAGTCACTTGAGTATATCTGCTCTCGTTCGCTCGTGAAATAGGTTAGTTCTGCCGACTGCAAATTACCCGCGAATGTTTCAGGAAGGTTCGATGTGTTCAGAGTATGATCCATTTCTCAATTTTGTTTTCAGAGCTTTTCTTTTTTTGGTATTTCAGAGCTTTGAAAGGGCTGTCCTCTTGTTGTAGGTTATCGTGCTTGTGTCTTAGCGATTTACTATCTGCGTAGGTTAGCACTCCTTTTCATATCGCAAATCATCAACAAACAGGAAATGAAACAAATTGATGTCACGTTTTGACAAGTACTTAAAATAGGGAGCAAGAACAAAGGGAGTTATAATTTCCATTAACTCAGTGACCTAAAAGTCTAAAATTTCGAAAGGTTGTGTGACCAATCTTGACACGTTTACATCAGTTTATTTCTTTTGGGCTGTCATCAAACAATTTCTTTGCTAATGGCTTGAACATAACACTTATATGCAGCTTTAGGGGAGCCCTGTAAGACCCCTGTAATGATGGTGCGAGTTATGTTATCTTCGTTCTATTGCTTGGGCCTTAGTCGTCGCTCAGAGTCAGAAGACAGCCGCTATGTCAACTGCCTTGCATGATCAAACATGGATAAAGGAAAACAGTAGTAAGTTTTGCATGTGAAGACTGCCCAATGCAGCATTTAATTTGATTGTTGTATAAGCGTTTGCGCCTCTAGTAAGACCGACAGCATTCAAGGATCAACGTTCTGTTTTAAAATAGGATCGCACGTGACGAGAAATCAACTGATGACCCTCGCTGATCACAGGATACACATCAAAAAGCAAAATTTTGCTTAACACCATCCTGTAATATTCATTCGTACATTCCTCACTTTAGTTGAAATGAATTTCTATTGTTTACGCTCATCATTTTCGTACTGAGTCACCGAGTATTTAATGTTTTGTTTTCTTCCTGAAAGAACGCCGCCATATTTGGTTGGACTTTCGATCACGATTTCTTCTCCATTCCGAGTCCTTGAATTAAGTTTTCGATGGTTTGTCGAGCTGCATTGCTTCAAATAAATCAGAGTAACCCTGGATGACACCCAATAATAAAGCAAGTATTCATGTAATTATGCACTCATTTGAGGTAAGTTAACAGCGTTTAAACGCGTCGTTTGTGTAAAGCTCCTTCGACATAAAAGTCTTGCGCACGCGTTTTTTGTGTTTAAACGTTGTTTAAATACGTTTTAACGGTGTTTAAACACGTTTACGTTTAAAACGATAGAAAAGACGTTTTTTTGTTATTCACCTTAATCCCCCTTTTCCTAAATGAGGTCACATTTATGTTAGCACGGCAAATTTGATCTGAAGAAACCAACAATACCAACAAATATTCATTAGATACTCACGCGTAGATAACGTTGTGCAAGACTCTGTACCATGCCAAGAATTTTTCTTTTATTCCATTTTAGAGCATGCTCAGTAATAAGCTCTTCTCTGTCTGTAAAAGTTGCTATATCTTACAGGATACATTGACTAGGTACACAGTTGGTAAAATAGTAAATTGTTCAAAGACGAATATAAAATGTATGAATAATATCGATTGGAAGTGGATGGAGTTTTAGCTAGCACAGCTTTCTCCTTGAAAGCTTACTCGATTAGTCTAGCATTAACTAAAAGAAAGAACACCCTGTTATCAAGAAGTCCCTCAAGTTCCTTGCATGTTTATGCATTAATAGGGAGCTTGTGCCTGGACAACTAAGATGGCAACAACAGATCAAATAATAATAACAAAAAAAATGATCACATGCAACGTGAACCTTAAAACATTTGACAAATTGTGCCACGTAAGAAACTTGTGAAGAAGTCTGAAACAACACAATTCATTTTTAAACTGCTGCCTGTCTGGAAATGGTTGAATTCGCAAATAATAAACCATGGGTGGCAAAACACTTACTTTGGGGAAGCATGTACTTAGTAGTGTTTCCACAGCGTGACATATAAGAGTTTATCTGCTCCACTTCTTCAGCAGTGGAAGCAGCACTCCCATCTTGCTAATGACTACCCCATATTACCTGATAATTGAGAAATTAAATGAGACTTACCTGTAAGTTGAAGTTTGATTGAGATTCTATGAGTCACCGGTCTGGAAAAAGGGAGTCACGTGAGATATGCGTACGCACCTTCGCATTCTGACTTCAAAGAAATAACATACCGGTCACATAGGGCACAGGGTAGGGCGTATTATGACAGAGTAGTATAGCAACCGCTTGGGGTTGAACAAATGAATATATAATGAGGTCGATTATCTGGGCGCTGTAGAGGCAACCACTTGGGCATGAATAAAGGAATATAGAATGAGGGAGGTTATGGCCGGCGGTGTAGTGCAGTGTAGTGGGTATAAATTGTGAATAAAGTCATATATAATGAGGTTATGGGGGTGTGTTGACGTCACTAAATCGATATTGGTCACATGTTCCTTATATTATTTTATAACTGGCTCGTTAACTAATTAATAAAAAAAGCCCTGAACAGCCGTGATTCTGCGATCCATGTTTAATGTAAATAGTTACAAATTAATCGAATCTTAGCTTGTATGATTTTGTTTTACAATGTTAAAAACAGTTTTTTGCAAGAGTTAATGGATCTTTACATGTGTCTTTGAGTACAATCCTTGCGCCTCCAGTTCTTGTCTCTTTATAACTTGTTCGTCGTACAAATTTATCCTTGTTTTCTTCCAGTTTGTACGTCATAACGGTTTGTTTTTCTAGTTTTCCGGCTCCTTAAAAGGGTATTGTATCCTTTTTGATAAATTTTTGGAACAAAGATCCAAAAATATGACGATATGACCAGGCATTCTGTGGAATATGTACCATACGCGCTCCACTGTTGTTACACTGTCACCGTCTCTATGTTGGTCGATGTTAAATCGCTCAACCAGTCCGACAAGTTTTTCATCAATGGGAAGTCTTGACTGTAGTTTTCGTTGAAATATTTTTCCTCTTCACATTTCCATCGAATTTCGTAAATGAGACATACCCAGTCATATTTCGTCATCATGGTTTATGGAGTCATCATTACCATGTGGTGTAAATGGGTGTGTGGTGTAAATCGGCGGGAAAACTTTCAGGTTGTTGTGTTATGCGATATGTCTTTGTCATGCTGATGGTGTTTGTATGTGAAATCAAATGGTGACAAGTGAAATTATTCCCTAATTTCACGAGTATACCATTTGATTACCTATTAACATCATGGGTGACGAATTACATTAGCAATCTTGGATTTTTGACATGTTTATCCTGGATCGTATCGATCAAGAACTCCACTCTCAAATGTTTAAACCTCAAATTTGCGCCAAAATTAAGGAGTAATTCGTCACCTATGATATTAGCTTATAAGGGCCAAGTCGCACTAGAGGACAATTTCAGATTTGTCCAGGACAAATCTGACTTGAAATCGGCCAGTGACAAAAAATTTGTCCGGAAAGCTACAGTCGCACTTGAGAACAAAATCTGTGAACAAAACATCACACCATGCTGTGAGCATCATGCAATTTCCCGCGAAGCAGCCTTTACCCACTGTTTCAATCCACAAACCGCAACACAAGGGATCTCAAAATGTTTCCACGAAGAATTCTAGCAATAATATTTTTCTTCTATTTTCTGGTTCTTCATCAGCAAGCAAATATCAATATCAATTTAATGATATGTTGTCTGTTATTAATGCAGAATTTACGTGCACAAAACATTCTAGTGACATGATGTATTCGCCGACAACGAAATCGTTATTGAAGACGAGCACCATACTATTGGACTCTTCCTCGTCCAGTCGAATCATGGTTCGAGATCCATTACACTGATCGAACAATACCTGGGGACTACTTTCGAAGGCTCTTACGAATGAACAGAGAAAGCTTTGATTTGTTGCTCAACGTAATTCGTAACCGGCTGACGAGACGGAATACAGTTCTGTGAAATTGCCTCACTCCTGAAAAGGTCCTTGCTTGTGGTTTGCTTCGCCTTGCACACGGAAATTCATACGAAACAGTAGGACCTGCGCTAAACGTCGGCAGAACTACAGCAATAGAGGCTTGTCAAGACGTGGTTGAGGCTCTTTATGACTTAAGGAATGAGTACATCGAATTCCCAACAATAGTGGCCGAGACAATGAGGTGTATAGAGACATTTACGGACAAATCACGACTTCCAAACATTGTTGGGGCCATAGATGGCACTCATATCAAAATAGTTGCTCCTAGAGACAGTGCTGTTGATTATTTTAGTCGAAATCAGCAACATGATTTCATTATTCAGGCCATTGCTGACGGTAAGGGATTATTTCTTGACTTTGCAGCGGGTTATCCGGGAAGTATCCACGACGCTAGGGTATATCGAGACAGCTCGCTTTATCTAAGAGCAAGCAACGGAGATATACTCAAGGAACCCATTGAAAGAATCGGCATCACAGATATTCAGCCTTACCTGGTAGGAGACAGCGCATACCCTATTTCCCCCTGGCTTATGAAGCCTTATCCTGAAGCGACGCGTGACCCTGACGAGATAACATTTAACAAGGAACTGTCGTCTGCACGAGTAACCATCGAGTGCGCTTTTGGCCGCCTCAAAAGTCGTTGGCAAATTCTACAAAAGCGGTTGGATAGCAGAATAACTTTTTCTGTGAAGATTGCCATTGCTTGTGCAGTGCTGCATAACTTTTGCATTAAAATTGGGGACGAATGGGAGGATGATTTTTACGATGACGATGATGACCGCGGAAACGAACAGAACAATGACTTAATGCAGGACGGGGAAGATATAAGATAGTTGCTAAAAAACAGTCTATGATTCTTCAAATCCCTTTTTTTAATTATTTAATCCTTCGAACTTAAACTTATACTGTATTTGATATTTCTCAAAGAAAATAGAAGAAAATCAACAAGAAAATACGATAAAAATATTGCATTGTAATTTGTGCTCAACATGCGATTGTTGAATCATAAGAAACGATTTCCATCACCGTATTGAATTTTCCTGCAATTTTACAGACATTTATTGTTCAGATTTTTAAAGAGAAATGTGTGATAAAGATAATTTTTGCATTTACAACAAGAAATCAGTTCAAGCAGTACATTCATTTGTTTCCATAATTTCGTTTGATCGATTCGCAACATAAACAATAACATCTCTTTTGATAATGGTCGATAATGAGTGTGTCCCAACAGTCCAAAACAGTCTTGAATTAAAGTTCAGTTGTCTTTCTCATTCTGTTGGCCAAGGATTTTCACAATGGAGCCCATAAATTGGTTCATCATGGCTAGCTGCTGCGTCTGTGATTGTTGCAAAGAATCCATAAATGCTGTAACTTTCTCCCCCTGCTGCCTCATATCCTTTAGAGCCATCTTGAACTCTTCGTCGCTGTCATTATCAGGAGCTTTGCGTTTCGAAGCTCGTTTCCCTTTCTTTGACGCTCTTCTCTTTTCAGCTGGAGTTTGTGGCACATTGGGGCTAGATGAAGTACTGTTTTCGCCAGTAGTATCACTTGATTCAGCTACAACTTCGGGGGCACTTTCGCCGCTGATCCCCGCTTCGGCTACATTATTGAAGGTTACTAGGTCGCGGCATCCAAGGATCTTATCGACCTCATCGTAGTAGACGGATTTCCTAAGGTTTCCTCCTGTTTGGTTTTAGTTCCAATCTTTTGCATTCTTGTATCTTTCTATGATGTACTTCATTTTCGGAATAGATTTGTCGGCCGTCTTGTTGGACTGTAGCTCTTCCGAAATCTTCTCGGCGATCCAGGCCCACGTTTTCCTGCACTCTCTGCTTTCCAACTGATCGTGTTTTTCAGCCCATAGTTGGACTAACAGTTTTTCCTCATCTTTAGTCCATCGTTCCTGGGCCTTCTTGTTCTCGGAAGATGTACGGCGCGAAGAAGTTTGGGATGATTCCGGCATTGAGCCGTCTTCGACGAACGGAAAGGATTCTGACGAGCCAGAACTTGCGGTTGAAGGAGATGGGCTTGGAGTTCCTCGATCATTAAAATTGTAAGTGCTAGGCAACGGATATATCCATCCTGGTGGATATTGAGGATATTGTTGCCCCATTTCATACGGAAAGTATTGGTTGCCCGCGCCTGGATTCATGTTGTTGCGAAATGAGAACGTGACCAATTTTGCCGCGAAGTCTATAGCATAGAGACTCTGCTACATATCACCTGTCAAATCATTTCGGAATTAAAACACCCTCGCTATTGTTTTCCAAAATTTGTCTCAATCTGGCCTGCTCCAGAGGTAGTCGACGGCATCTTTGAAGTTTGTCCGCCCGCGACCAAATTTTGTCCTTTGGTGAACAAACCGGTCGCACTTGGTTTTTCATTGTGATGACAGATTTTTGACATAAATAAACAGTTTTGTCCTCTAGTGCGACTTGGCCCTAATTTCGTGTGTTGCTTGCAGGATATTTCATTACAGGAAGGTAATTTTGCGAGTTGTGTAATTATGGGAGACAATGGTCAAGCCAATGTGCATTGCTGATTTGTTGATCAGAATGATTTATCGCATCTAAACATTCCAAGGTTTATTTTGAAGTTGTATAGAAAATTTCTGGTTTAGATAAAAATTTGGAAGGGAAGGTATTCAACTGTTATGGTAATCATGTGTGGATAGAATTTAGAGATTTGTGCGAGTTAAATCATTGGATTGTACATCCCGATGTATTGCAATGTTATGTTAATTCAGATTTGCTTGTTATGAGAAAGATGATGGACTCTCCAAGGTTTAATATAGCCGAATACAAACGGTTTGTGAAATGTGGACTGTCATGTCGAATCAGCCCGGATACGATTAAAGAAGCCAAAGAGACGATGCCTTTGATGTGTGTATTCCACGATTTTGTGCAGACATACGAGTCATTTGTTGTTGTGGCCGAGGTGAAAAGATACGTTAGGGAACATGACAGGTTGTTTGCAAATTCCAAGGTAACTTACATACGTAAAAGTTTTGAAAAATGTCTTGTGTTGCGAATGTTTGGAGAGGGTTTTGTAAGGGAACATCAAAGGTTGTTTGCATGAATTCCAAGCTAATGTACACATTTGTTAAATGTTTTGCGCTGTGAATGTTTTAAAAAAGTTTTTTTCTTTGTTGCTGTGTAAAGATGGCACGTAGGTTCGAGGATGATGTGTTGGTGACCGTTTTCAAAGTCGATACAGATGAATGATCGAAAGAGGTGCAGGTCAGGTCAGGTCAAAATTCGAATTGTCGTTGTGATTTTTGTAGCCGGGGGAATGCCGATAAACTTGGAAGGGTGCAGAAAGGAAAAAAGAAAAAGAAACCGGGCTGTAAAATAAATACAATATCTTATAGCAAAAGATAAAACTCTCGTGTCCGTGATAAAGGACGGGTACAACGAAAGTAGAATGCATGACTGGATAGACAAGTTGGAATCTGTCACTGAGCCTCAGAAAAAGTGGCTAACCTCTTCAAGGCCAATAGTATGGCTCCCCTATGGCTACGATAAAAAGCATAGTTGCCCGCTTCATTCAAATGAACGCCATCTCAGCATATAACAGCAGTAGATGGACTTTGAAGCCTTCTATGGCTCCGCACTTCAGCATAAGGGAGTGTGGTTCGAGGACCACTTTTAGATATTTATTGAGAAGGTCTACTCTGTGGCTGAAATCGGGGACGTGTGGAGGAATAGCAGACTGGTATATTACCAGGCATACCATTATAAACTCTGGTCCACAGTGATCATGGAGGACTTGAACTAAATGTTCAATATCTGAACCAACAGATTGGGGGCGCTACCCCACTACACACAAATCATTAGTTCCCAGTTCTAAAGTGATAGCCTTTGGCTGAAAAGCCTTAATTGTGTCCAAATCAAATGACAGCATTTTAGAGATGGTTCTACCGCCAATGCCTAGAAAAGATACATTTTTGTGAGCCAAGTTCATGTTGTGAGCCTGTTGTGATGTTGTTGAAAGCAGAGAGCTGAGATGATCAGAGAGTGAGGCCGGAGGTTTGCCCCCTGAAAACCCAAGGGCAAGTACTACTGACAATGTTGAAGGAATGATCGCCCTTTTCCATGAGTTGCTTGGACCAATATTTGATCTCAAGGCATTTAAGCAAGAATTCCCAAAAATAATGAATGACTTCAACAAATGGATCGATCCTGATATCCCCTTTTATTACTGGAGTGGCATCCATGTGCGTTTTCATTTGAAAGCTTTGCCAAGCTTCAATGAGCCATCTCAATCAGGAATTGGATGCTTAGATCGAGTAGTGATTTCATGTAGGGCTGATCCAGGTGTGTTTGTGGCATACCTTGCCAATTTTCTTCAATGCGTTACATGATGGGCATATTTTGTTAGCTCTTCTGCTATACAGCCAACATGCTTAAGTCCTGTTCCATAGTCTGTCAAAACACGAATAGCATTTGCATCAGTCATTGTCAGAATCTGGTTCAATCGTGGCTTTAACAACAAATTTCGGATCATCTTTCATTTTTATGCAAGCTGCCTTTAGGTGGTTCTGTCTCTCACTTTAGTACACAACATCCATTACTTTAAAAGGAAGAGAATGAGCAATAAAATCTTCCTCTTCCTTCTCTTCGTCATCAGCAATATCCCACTGACAAACGTTTTGAACTAAGTGCTCATCATTTGCAATTGCACTGTATGTGGATTGTTCACTAGTATAGTTAAAACAGTCCCACTCCCAAATCACAGTGTATTGGGCATTATTAATGGCAATGACTTAAGGTGATGAGGAAGCTATTTACTCAAGATTGAGTTTCCTCAAACTCTTGTTTTGAGGGAGGTTTCTGTCGTCCATTGGCTCTTCTCATAAACCGCTATTTCATATAGTAGTGCATCTAGAACTTCTAGATTTTCAAGCACAATCCCTTCTGGGACTCTGAGAAAGGAATTTCCCTGTTGACTAGAAATGGACGCAATATCTCTGAGATGCACTATTCCAACTGATCCCCCTGACGGTGTAACAAACTTCCTTTGGAATGATTTTTTGTTTCTTTGTTAAATTCTTTTAAAAACCTCTGCAGGTCATTCTCAGTGGTCCAAATGAGACAGGAAGTGCGTGAGACAGTGTTTTTCACACCATGCAAGTCCCATGGCATGCCCTTTGGAAACCTTATCAGCTGAATTCCTCGTAACAGCTGTAGGATTTAAGTAGGCAGTAGGTAAGTTATTTGAAAAAAGGGGATGTACCCAATCTTGGCCCCCTCCCTCAGTTCTAGGCACAATTTGTCAACAAATTCCTTTACTGGATGACTGGATAAGGCATCATATAAAGTATCTACATTTACAAGACTAACCACACCCTCAAAGCTACTTGTCTTAGTGGCTGGTGCTGGGACAAGGACTTTTCCATTCTTGTAGAGGGGCATTTTCTGTTCTCAGGAAAGTGGGCACTTGATCACTGGTGATCCTTCCCACACCAGGATCTGTTACATTTGTGGGCATAGATTCAAGGGGTTCTGGCACAGGCAACCCCCATGTTATAGTTGTTGCAATTATGGGTTTTCAGTCCCCCTAGAAGTATTTGGCAGTGAGGCGAGGATCAAGATTGTAAAACCTTGAGGTCTTGCTTCAGGAGTTAAGGGGCAGCTGTGAAGGTTTTGAGCCATAATTGGCTGTCAGTGGTGGACAATTTTAGGGACATGTTTGCAGCGGCCTTCTGTCGGAACTTGACATCATACACGCACCACCCTAACCCCTTATGGTACTTCGGCTAAGACGGAAAGTGAAAACAATAGGCCAGTGGCACTGAGAACCGTTGGAGAGTTGAGCTGTTCAACTACTAATTAGATTAGGAATTCTTTTGTCTGCAGCCTTATTCCTGTTGCACAGACATTGCGTTAAGATGTACAGGAGCACAAACAAGCCACGGCATGAACGCTCAACTGATTGTTGCAGGAAATGTTTATGCTCCTTCTTCAGATATATTGCTGCAGCTTTCAATGTTAAGCATGTACAGATGTTAAGCTGTACCAACAAGATTAAGGTAATCATCTGACAAGATCATGGTTCTTGTTAGGTTAATCCACGTTAACTCTGGGAAATAACGTAGTGGAACATTTCGATATTGCATTCTTGTGTTGGCTAAGTGTAGTTCTTAGCAATGATTCAATGCTTTGGCAGTTGATTTGCTTCCTTGAAATACAAATCCCATTAGGCAAAACAAACAGACGATACACTCACAAGATCTTCTGGCTCAAGATACTCAAAAACAAGAGGCCAAAAGTAGAGCACTTAAACCATTTTGACCACGTGTCATGTGACAAATGCGTACGTGATTGAAATCTCTCACGTAGTGGTGTTCTAATGACAATGTACAAAAAATTGTCACCTTGCGATTGGAAGAATCCTCTGTTATGTTTCCGGCCATATTCTTTTATTCAATCTTTTCAAATGTAAGTGCTGCAAGTGAATGAAGCTGAAGGTCTGTTCAATGCCCAACTCCCCTCTCCCCGGTTCCTTCAGTGTCGACAATCCCAGAAGAATCTGATTTCCTTTATTGCTCCAACTCATGTTGAAGAAAACGGACACTGTACACCTCACGACTTGCTCTTTGTCTTGTATCTGGTGTTTCTTGAAGGACGGATTTCCTCAGATGTAGCGGCACCAGTGGCCCCTGCAATAGGAAGTGCATGAGCTGCTGTTGTTTCTTTTTTTTTGTAATTTTTTTAAATTCCTTTCCAATGTCTGCAAGTGAGCGGGCTACAAGTCCTCCACTGTTTGAGCCAGAGGAAGGAAACTCGGAAGCTTCCGAAGAGAGAGATGTCTTTTAGTGTCTCCAGCTTCTGTGCTACCTTTATTCTGTCAATAGGAAGTTTTCTACAAGTGACATTCTTCATTGACAAAATTAAACAAACTAGGAACTATCACATTAGGAAGCAGCTAAGGCACAATGTTAAAAGTAATTACAAAGCAATTACCCAAAACCATCCATCCCCCAATAATAATCCCCCTTCAAACATTTTTAGTTTACTACGTAATACTAATACTACTAATAACATCGCATTGCTTGAGCTAGAAATAAAGTACGTCTTTTAAATTTCACTTTATTCTGGTTTGTGATGAATTAATGATATTAATTTAATTAATTTATTATAGTTATTTTGAATTGATCATTGCAGTTTGTTCAGGTAAACAAGAAAAAAAATAATAAAGAAATAGGTTTTGTGACAAAAACTGTACGAAATGGTCACTAACACTTTCATTGTTTTCTACACTGGAGAGAAGCTCTAATTCTATAATTTTTTTCTATAATTTTGCATTTTCGTTGTTAAGCTTTCATATCTGTTGTCTATATCAGTTGGCCTGAATATTCCTTGTTGTATAAGCCAAAGCTACGCCAAATTAAACCAAAACGACTA